ATACATCAGCATCATTTTATGCTGCTTTCTCCTACTATCAGAAAACCAACCTAGTTCTTTATACAAGCTATTGTGCCTCTACGCAGTCCTGTTATTATTCTTGCCGCCTCTAATTGTACTGATTCTAAGAGAACTTTTAAATTTTGCGAACAATTATCCCAGACAACATCAGCGTATTCAAGTATTGGCCTAATATATGATATATATATTGTAGTTAATGACTGTCTGTCAAATTTATACTTCATCATTCTTAACACATTAATTCTTTTATAGGAATTTTGATAAATATAAAAAATATTATCATTCCACTTAGCATCATGACTGAATGTCAGACCGAGATGTTTATGTATTCGACTGACAGTAACAGGTTCATTATAAAAATATACATTTGGGTGATGGATATTCAATTTTTAGAGAAAATCGCAGATTCAGTTTTGTTTTGATTAAATTTTATGTCCCATCTATTAGCCCAGAGTTGAATATTGCTGAGATCATCTGTTAAGTTTGTGCTAGTTCAACTGGATCATTATCTGTTACAGCTTACAGGGAAGGGTCGTCAGCAAACGGTTTAATTATATTAGAAACACAATCAACAATAATATCATTGATATAAAAAACAATAATGGACTGAGAACCGAGGCCTGTGGTACCCCTGCACTAACAGACTTAGACGTCGATATATATCCCAGTTTAGACTCTTTGTTTTCTATCATCTAAAAAATTCCTAAACTACTTAAGTGATTTCCCTTTGATGCCATATACTTGAAGTTTATATAATAACCAGCCATGCCAGACTCTATCAAATGCCTTGCAAAAAACAAACCTTAATTCTTTACCTTGGTCTAAACATTGTACAATAGTGTGATGTACTGAAAGAAGTTGATTTACTGTAGAGTCCTTAGGCATAAAACCAGATTGATGTTTTGAAATAACTTTATAATCAGCTAGATAATTAAACATGTATTTAATTTTTTTTTCTATAATTTTACTAAAATATGAAGTTATAGAGATTGGTCTGTAATTAGATATTTCATTTATTAAACCTTTTCCTTTATAAATGCCATTAATATTGGCAGTTTTCCAGCTAAGGGGGATAACTCCTGTTTGTAGTGTTTTGTTAAAGAGCAAAGTTAAAGGAAGAGAAATAGAATGTTGAAGTTACTTGATTATCTTTAGTACCATATCATCAGGCCCAGCTGGTTAATTACTATTTAAGAGAAACAACTGATCACAGACATCTTGATGTGTTATTGAAATGTTATCTAAAGAATGAGGACAGTTAATTTCTATATGTGGGATTGGTTCAATATTCTCAGAAATGGTAGATATAGAAGTAACATATTTATTAAGTAACCCAGCTTTATCAAACGGATGTTGAATGAAAGATTCATCACATTTAAGAGGGGGAATAGAGTTACTTTTATTATTTATATTTTAAACAGTTTTTGTAATTTTCCACCAACTAGATGAAGAGGTATCTTTATTAGCTAACAATTGCATATTTTCTATATAATTATTCTTGGCCTCCCTAATTTTACTTATGACTTCATTCCTGATATTTCTGTAGTTTTCCCAACGACATGGTAAGTTACTAGATCTTGCTTTTCTATGTACCCTATTTCTTTGTCTAATTTTAGTTCTGATTTCTTTTGTCATCCACTTATTATCGCTAGGTCTTACTGTAATATTTCTACTAGGAATACATTCAGATATCTATTGATTGATAGCATCACAAAGAGTATTATTAAATTCATTACTATCTTGCAATTCTGAGAGTGAAACCAAATCAATCATATTCAGGTTCCTATTCATTTTAACATAATCAGCTTCCTGATAGAGAAGCATATTTTTCTTGTAAGATTTTGGTTTAAAACATCAAATGAAATACAAAATTGTAAAAGAGAATGATCACTACAAATAGGTGGAGAAACAGATACATTTTTGATGAAGTTCAAGCTGTTAGATAATACAATGTCTAATGAAGTTATTACTATATTAAGGTTAGTATTTATAGCTCTATCTAACACAAAATCAAGGGTTTCCAAATAAGCAACAAGCATATCTGGTCTATAAATAGACAACAGAGTAAAATTTTTCTAGATTCAATACATACTTCAACACAGATTAATTCTACATCATCGTGTTGTAAATCTGTTCGTCTTTTAATGAAAACTGTATTTTTATGATAAATAATAACTTCTCCACCAGGGCCCGATCTTCGGTCCAGCCTATCATGTAGGTAAGAGTCAATGTTAATATCCGAATCTAGTACTTCAGGAGAAAGATGAGTTTCTGTTAAACATATTATGTCATTATTATTTAATTCAGCTTCCACAATGTAAACTTTATTTCTTAATGACCTAACATTTAGGTGAGCAATATCAAGACTGCATAGAGGACCCGGGTTAACTTCAATGTCTTTTGAAGTTAACAGTAATATATGAAGTATAAAATAGAACAATATATTTTTAAAACTTGTATCATATTTCAAGGTAGTAAAATGATAGAAGTTGAATGAATGAGAGAGGTTAGAACTAGCTTTGATTTCCAATGTGTCTCAATATTGAATTGATATTCTATTTTTTACCCATTGTCAAGCAAGATGAGGCCTGAAGAATAGGAAATGAGACACAAGGTACATAGCAAGTAGTACTCCAACAATGCTAGAGGTTTTACGCGGCAAGATACTTCTGACAGGCGACCGCGATTGACAAAGACAATTCTCACACGACAAGCCAAAACAAAACGAATTACTATGATTGATTGTTAAAAATTATATATTATAACACTATAGAATCATTTACTGCAAACAAGAATTAGCAGAAAGGCGCACAAGCAAGTGTCATACGTAAGACATGTGCGTTTGTTTACACTTTCCTCGTAATCACTTTTTTCTTCGCGGCGGAAGTAAATGATTCGTCACGTGACAAGCCATGTGATCCATTTGGCTTTCTTCGTAATAAACCGAGCGTGAACATGTTTATAATCAATAGTCAAGACAAACAATGTTCCAACGCCGAAAAATAACCAAAAACAACCAATTTGACGTTATAGGCGCGCTTTATTATGGATATATTTTATCATTCGTAAGCCGAATTCTCCATTAACATACCATATACGTCTCTGAACATACCATTTAAGTTTTTTAACATAAAGTACCTAGATTATGTCAGGTTTTATGACCTTCTGTAGCCTATATGCCTTGGCACCTACTATAATCCCGTAACCGTTTTTTTTATTTCAGGTCAAGTTGATGACATAGGCCAATTATTATTTGAATTATATTGTTTATGGGTTACCAAGATGTAGACACAATACAGTCACAAGACATTTAGGGAATTTCCAGGTGTATTTTCCCGGTCGGCCAAGGCTCGATTGCTTTCGATTTGCAATTACAACCTATGTCATCAACTTAACCCATAAACATATCATACTACTACTACTACTACTACTACTTATTATACTACTACTACTACTACTACTACTACTACTACTACTACTACTACTAATTATTATTATTATTATTATTAGTATGGTATGTTTATGGTTAAACACAATACAGTCACAAGACATTTAGGGAATTTCCAGGTGTATTTACCCGGTCGGCCAAGGCTAGATTGCTTTCGAGGCTGCATTCATTCAGCGGGGAGAATATTTCAAATTACCTTCTGTCTATTTAACAAGTAAGTGTTTATCGTTAACACAACTAATATGTGTACATACTTATTTTAATTCAATCTTCCTAACTAAGCTTATCTTTTATTTATTCTGAATCAAAACATACCCACGATGAGTCATAAAATAAGATTTTTTATAAAATAAAAATATGACACCATATATAACATCAGAGACATATATAACATGTGATATATACGTCTCTGATAACTTATGCTTCATGAATATTACAAAAGATATTTTACAATCTCGTGTTAAATTGTAAAGATATATCAATTCAGTCATCAACTGATCTATTTTAAAACATTGCAGACGTGTCGAATCGACATTGCGTTTTATTTATAGAGTGGTGTTGGCTTGTTTCCACAATCCTGTACACCAGTCATACATACCTGTGGTATTCACGCATGTAAAAGCTTTTGATAATCTATCTGCTAAAAATATCTATATTGAAGTAAATACTCCTCTACGATCTAACCAAGATTGATAGGGTGAAACTGCAAAAGGGTTATGATCCCAATAGGTGATCCGCGAGGTACTGAATTCTCTTCAGTCAGCCAGTCTATCTTCTTTACATTTTTGCTGGTCGAATCCACGCAAATGTCTTACATTAGTAATCATTCCGAAAGTTCTTGATTTAGCTGTTTTGAACTCCATGTCAGGTCGGGAGGCCAAAGTTGAAGATCATTGTTAAATCATTGTTAAAAAGACAATTTGTTTAAACTATCAGTTTTATTGTAGAGATAAACAGTAAAGAAAGATGACTTACAAGCCTAAGCTTATGATGACTGATTGTCCACAGATCTTAGTTACAACAGATGATCGACCAAGCAACATCGGAAATATTTCTCTTTTAATAAAGGTACAGTATCTAACTTACTCCGCGCGTAAGTGAAATATATATTGGTTTTGTCATTTGACCTAAAGGGTTTCATATTCGTGATTTGTTCGTCGTCATACGCTGTCAGCCTGAACAAATTTAAACCACACATACCCGTCCAGAAAGAGGGGGGGGCATCATTTGACAGAAGATATTTAATTTTGTATACATAGTCGGTCTGATCACAAAGGCACGGGGTCCTTTCTCTTTCTTTTCGGAAAGAAACCGATATGGAATATAAGGAGAGCGATTAGGTTTTAAGACCTTCTGTATATGTCTTGCAACTTACTGTAATCCCATAACCGTTTTTTTTAAATTTCAGGTCAAGTTGATCACATAGGACATAAACCGCCAAACAAACAGCAGAGTTAAAGATATGACCATGGATCTACGGGATAACGTCTTCGTTTTCTTGTTCCAGCTGTTAACGGGCTTGTTATCAACAATGTGTTTTATGATGGTACTGCACACAGATGAAAAATTGGACAACACTATTCGGTATTCTGACATTTCGACTGAGGTTTTTATTTCACGGTATATAGTCATAGTTATCATTTCGGTAGCAGGTAATTTATTCATTAGTGAAATAGAACAGTACATGACACAATTTAGGCACATGGATATCATAGGCATTTGTTTCTCGTTCGCTGTTTTGCATTCGCAAGTGCACTCGCAAGAAAAGGATGTGATAGTTTTAGAGTTTCTGATATATCTACCCTATCTTATTGATTTCGGCTTCGATATTTTTGCTTGGTGTCTCTACTATGTATATCATGTGTCAAAATACTACACTTTCCGCAGTATTATTCAGTATTTGGTATACTTACTCTCTCTTACAATGCTTTTGATTACGGCAGTCATGTCTTGTGGACTTCTCATCCAAAACCAAGCTGGTGGGATAGGAAATCAGTTAAGCGCACACCAATATATAACAACACGCGTTGATGTCGTTAGGCCAGTGGATAGGGTAGAGTCCTTTCAAGTGAACTCCGATTACCAAACTACATTAAATACACAAACGAAACCTCGGTGTCCTGAATCCTCCTACACTGCCACGAAGACTGTCATGTGGCGTTATCCAGGCGAGGACATACAAATGAAATGCCAATACGATATAGATATTGAAGATTTTAGCTCTGCAACACCTGAAACTTTGTGGTTTCGTGATAAACAAGTGCTGACAATTGCAGAGAGACATAGAGTGGAACTTGGTTATGAAATGATTGGTTCAACCTACCAGGTTACAAGTTTGTTAACAATTTTGATGGCTGATAGTAAGGACTTTGCAATTTACGAATGTTGGGGAGAAAACCGAAGTATGCATTCGAAACAAAGTTTGAGCTCTCATATCTTGACTTTGCGAGCATTCTTCAATATAACACAAATATCACATGTTAAAAAAACAGTGTTTGCCCCAGTTGGCTTGTTAATGACCGTGCAACCGATGGACTATTACATTTTTAGCCACGATACTATCAAATTCAATCACATGGTGGAAGGGTTAACAGAACGTCTATTTGTACCTCATTACCACAGCGTCTTGTTCGGTGGATGCAGTCCATTGACTGCCCTTTATAGTTCCATGTATTGTTATGTTTTCTCGAAATCCAAATGTATCAAACTTCCTTTGTCAGAAGTTGAATTCAAAAATGCATATTTATTTCAATATTCGTATCATTTCTGTACGCATCCACAAAACCTCTGTAAACACACGATGCAGATTGAGAGAAATGTACGGAATGGAATAACTGGAGATATGGAACATCATGTGTATGATTTACCTTTGTCTGTCAACTTGGTTCCAGATACACGATTTCTCTACATGGAAATGGACAATCGTAGTTACACAGATGACATATCAGTAGCGAATCAAAACTCCCTGCGAACTTGGCATGTAATATTTGAAGTCTTCTGGTGGATCAGAATGGTTATAGAGTGCTGTTTGATAGGGATGTTACATGTCACCATGTCGTATATGCTTTCAAAAGTGTGGGATTTCATGATGAAATACTTGGTTATACGAATGAAAAGAATTATCCTGAAGCGAACTAATTTGACAACCGACATCCTGCAAAAGAAACGAGAAAATTACCGTATGTACGATGCGCTCATACTGCACCATGAAGAAGATCAAGATATTGTTCGCGATTGCATTGTTACACCACTGGAGAAGGCAGGACACCGGATTCTGTTCCCTGCGAGAGACTGGGCTGATAAAGGTAACAAACCAGCATACAAGATTCACGCAGGTGCAATAGAAACTAGTAAAGGAATTATTGTAGTATATTCCGACAAATTCAAAAGTGATCCGTTTTGCATGCGTACTTATCTTGAAAGCATGACGATTGCGCGCGTTCAACATGGCTACTTGAGCCAAAACAGTGTTTGTATTGTCTCGCTTCAACCTTGTGCACGTATTCCGCGTGATGTAGAGATAGCATTGCCGAAAGTACATTTTCTGAACTTAGTGCGAAAACGGAAAAAAGGCAGGCAAGTGGACACATTTGAAGATATGTTAAAGAAATGGATCCATTGAAGATTGCCAGATAATACATGGATTTCATTATCAAAATGTGATACAACTTTATAGCTTTGGCATAATTAATGACTTTAGAATGTAATGGGATGAAATGGTTTTTTCAACAGTTTAATTTATGAAAGTTAGGCGGTCAACAGTTTTATGAAATGGGACGTCTTTCCGAGACCATTCAGGGATAAACCTACATTTTGCAGGAGAATATTTTAAGGACAGCTGCATTTTGCATACTTTTCACAACATTAGATGAGTTTTTAAAAGATTTTGGGGTTCAAAATACAAGGGGGAGGGGATGTAAAACTTGGTGTTCGGGGGAAAATGTAGTGTTTTTTTTTATTTTCTTCTCAATAAGGATCAAGTGACGGTCTCGTATGATAGGTCCATTTTCACATCACATAGCTTCAAAAAATACTTGAAAATTTCTTTTCATTAACCGATTAAATGCATGACAACAATTATTACAACCAGAAAGGAATCCAAGCGTTATAGAAAAGGGATAAATATAGACTCTTCTGCATTCTGATTCAATTGCTCGAAATAAACAGGACATGTCTACAATATGAACCATAATTACACCTATACATGTCCTAATCCTGATTAGAATTGGTCAAATGGGACAATGACATTTAGGATTCAGTGAATCAAAATATTCTCTGTTTACATATGGTTTCAACTTTTGTATAGCTTGTATGATATATTTGAAAAAAAAAATAATAAAGAATTAAAAAAAGAAGTTATTTCTCTTGTTTGTTTTGTCAGTATGGTAAATACGCTCCTATTTCACATACCTGTTTATTAGTCTATAGTTATACTATACTAACCACAGCAGTCATAGTAAGGGAATCCCCAGAGTGTTTTTCTCACCCGGGCAAGATTTATTTACTTATAAGGTCTGCTGTCATTCAGCAGAGAAAGTATTCCCAGATCTACTTAATGCTGTGAGTATCAATAATTCCCGTAATCGATACACTACATACATGCCATTCTTAAAAAAATATATTTATTCTGAATTAAAGTTTATCATGACGAGCAATGATGGCACAGAGCTGAAATAATTAAATGATAATATAGCACAGTATATATTACCATCTGACAGTATCTCATCGTCTATTTGCTTCCTTTATATATGGATGAATTGGCGTGAACGAAAACATCTTACAATATTACGTCATAAAACTGTTCATTCAGCAGGCATTTGATCTATTATTACACTTAGTCAATGCGTCATTTGCTCATTCCAATTGGCATACAAAGAAGTATTGGCAGATTATCAGACAGTCACTTACATAGCATGAAACATACCTACCCATTATACTAAAGGCGATTTAACCTTAGAACCTCTTTCTGATTCTTGAGTGGATACACCTTTTTACTTACAAAGTTTCTAATACAACATCCAACCCAGTATAGGAGTTCTATCTTAACGACGCGACATCCCACAGTAATAACAAGAGGTCCAAAGAGCTTTGTCGCTCACCTGGTTGAGTTTATTGCAATGCATTTACTTAAAATGAAGGAAAAGTATTTGAAACTTGTATCTATCTCTCCAGTTAGATTCGCCTCTCCTCCCCCAAGGGGGTTATATTCACTATTTGTACAAAACTAACAAAATCGAATCATTCCAACACAAGCAATTCGCTCTATTTCCACTATTGGGCCCCGTCCAAGGGTTCCGAAACCAACCGTTCATGCAAAATTAATCCACTACACCAACACATGTCTCAGATCAGATTAGGACAGAATTCAAGCATTCCTACATACAAAGAATGATTTTAAAGAAATTACCATAATCCCCCCGTTTGGCCCCATCCCTTCCGCCCGAAATGGCCGCGATCAATTGTTTATACAAAATTGATTCCTTTCAGGCAAAATTGGGACAACACCAAGGTATTCTTACAGAAGACGGAGACGATGGAATTGAAAACTTGTTTAGAATACAGTAATTTATCTCATCTAGGTAACAAACCTAGAAATAATGTTTATCATGATGCCTGACACAGAAGTTCAAACATAATCATTGTCTTCTCTGAGCCGTTTTTGCAAAACGGGTATCTACTCAATTTTATTTTCCATACTGTTGTTCCGACAAGTTGTCGGTAAAAACATACTGGTGATAGAAATAGGCCTGGTGTTGAGGTAATACATGGACCATTCCATTCCCAGAATGACAAGGCAAAGCTTAGTAGACATATAATGTGTTGGACACTTAAAACAATCTATTGCGATGATCCAGAAACTAAAATTATTTTAGACGGTAGTATGTATTTCTTTGTAACAAGTACTGATTGATAATTTTTAGCTGGTATCCTCAATGACACTACGAGCTAATGTACATGCAGTCACTTTTGTGGTAAAAAAGGTATTTCCACGAATATTGAAATTGGCCTTGTCCATCTGTCTGCATTATCTTTGCTTCAGTTCAATCCATCAAGTAATGTTAAGCTAATTTCTCTTACTTCATCCAGTGCTTTCTCAAAGATAGTGCTATGTTTTATCTGGTCCGGAGTTAAAAAGGTTCAGATCACTGAAAACATATGTACATATTAAAAAATGTATCGTTAACTACAGCACTTTAGTCGAATGTAAGAATTGTACCTCCATTTCATGATCGTCGGAGGCAACTAAATTTGGGATCTACTCTTTCCTCTTCATTCTTAACTTCTCGTTTGACACTGCCTCACTGAAGGCTGTGGATTGTCTTCTTCGACACTGCCTCATTGAAGGCTTTGCATTGTCTCCCTTGACACTGTGTGACTGAAGGCTTTGAATTGTCTCCCTTGACACTGCATCACAGAAGGCTTTGCATTTTCTCCCTGGACACTGCATCATTGAAGGCTTTGTGTTGTCTTGCTTGACATTGTCTGACTGATGGCTTTGCATTGTCTCCCTTGACACTGCCTCATTGAAGGCTTTGCATTGTCTCCTTTGACACTGCCTCATTGAAGGCTTTGCATTGTCTCCCTTGACACTGCCTCGTTGAAGGCTTTGCTTTGTCTTCCGCGACACTGTCTGACCAAAGGCTTTGCATTGTCTTCCTCGACACTGTCTGACTGAAGGCTTTGCGTTGTCTTCCTCGACACTGTCTGACTGAAGGCTTTGCATTTTCTCCCTTGACACTGCATCACTGAAGGCTTTGCATTGTCTCCCTTGACACTGCATCACCAAAGGCTTTGCATTGTCTGCATTGTCTCCCTTCACACTGCCTTGTTGAAGGTTTTGCGTTGTCTTCCTTGACACTGTCTAACTGAAGGCTTTGCAATTTTTCCCTTGACACTGCATCACTGAAGGGTTTGGGTTATCTCCCTTGACACTACTTCACTAACAGAGCAGTAACGGATTTCAAAAATTCTTCAAAATCCATCTTCTCTAATTTGGTCTGAATCACCATTGGTTGAATGTTGAACTTAATTTTGTATAAAATGTTTTTCTAGAGTCTGGCATGCGAGACTGGATAGGAGAAATAAATTAAAACCTCTTGTGTTGGGATGAATGCATGGTGACAAAATTGGATCAAAATCATTACCAGGTAGACAATATTCTTTAATAAAAAGGTATTTCTGTTTTAATTTCAAATTCAATTTATTAGTCAAATTTTGAAACAATACAATTGTTTTCTACAGGAACAGACTATGAATTCAACACTAGTGAATGTTACGATCAGTTATGTTGTAATGTTTTCAATGAAAAAGAATAATCATGAAGAATACAAGATACATGTTAACAGTAATTTTCGCAAAATAAATCTATTTAGTAATTTAATGTTGATAAAAACATTCCAAGACCTTCATAACTGCAATATGTATCTTGTCATTTTGATTCATTTGCTTTTTATTTTACTGTTTAAAAGATCAAACGGTAGGACATGCAGGTTTCTCTTTATTTGTAGTGTTTAAAATTTTATTGAATCCCTGTATAGGTCAGAGGATTTCATTCTGAGGAAAATTACATTATTTGTAATCAGGTTTTTTTTTCTTATTTTTGAGGTGTAAATTGGAAAAGCAGCCATTGAATAACGAAAAATGGAGTAATGAATTTATTACTTCTTGATAGTGATGAATATGGTTAACTGAATGCATATCTATGGTGCATCTCACAATTTATTCTGATGCCTTTTTGCAATTTTTAAAATTTCTATTTGGGAGGTATATCATATGATGTACTTGTATGTTTCAGTAAGTACCTTAAGCAGAACGTATACTTACTAAGTATCTTTCTCTTTTCTTTACTGGAAATACATCCATGAAAGGATCCACATTCCAGGAATTTGTGCAAAGTCCAAGTAGAAGAATTTAAATGAATAATATTTGTCTAACAAAATATCATAAAAAAGGAGGTTTTCCCAAGGCTTTTTGATATTTTCAAAGTGGCCTTAGATATTTACGAAAGTGCAACAGGACTTTACCTAATTTAAATATTGTCAATAAAGATGGCTACCATGGACGTTAAAATTTTCTTATTCACAATTTTTAGATGATCATGATGTGTTATTAACTGATACTGATTTTAATGACAAATAAAAGGTAATTGAATGAAGAATCATGTGACCTCTGCTGTAACATCTGGCACATATTACAATACCATATTAGCTATTGATAGAATATTGTGCCTGCATTTGATGTACCTTGGGGGTAGAAACACTGCATAAATTGAGAAACCTGCTATGATACTGTTGTATATGAATTCTTACCTGATTTGTGAAATACATACATTTATTTTCTAAAATGTGCAAAAAACAGCTTCGTATATTGATGATAAAAAAAATAAAGGCTTTGGAATGTATGTCACTAAATTGACCTGACAGCTCATCATACCAGTCCACATTAATTTTAATTGAGCTTAAGTTGGAAAATTTTTTCTCAATTCATGGAATATACTTGACACTAATAAAAGTATATAAGAGTATGTTAAAACCAAACAACCGATGAAGATAGGAATATTGGAAACTGTATTTCATGTATAGATATTTTACTTGTGAAACCTTCTAAAATAAAGTCACGCAC